TGAAAATTGTCATTACATAATCATTATACTTAGCATCTAAAATAATAAGATAGTATTTAGAAAAATAAATTTGAAAGTCCTTTTTGGTACTTCCGGTAATAAATTTTTATTTTGGTAGTGTTAATATTTACCTGCTTTACAAAACTCAGAAGAATGTGTTGTACTATTTTTTTGCATAAGAAAGATGGAAAAATAAGAAAACATACACATAACTATTTGGCTATATAAACACAATGAAGGTAAGCCAGAAAACAATGATGTTAACTCTCTATAAGTGATGGTGAGGAGGTAAAGTGCAAGCACTGGCATGTTGCAGTTTATTTGTACTGGCTTGCAAAAGCCAATTGTTAAGTTTCCAGTAGTTTTGCAGGCTGGTTGACATTATGTTGGTAGTGTGAAATTAGCCATCGCTGTGGGTATATTTACACCATGTAAATCAGCAAATGTTGCAAATTGAGACCTTTCTGTCCCAAGTGGCACAGCATCCCTTGGGGTAGAAGGCAAACAGAGAGAATAACACTTCTTTGACTACACTTCAAAAAATAAAATAAATCAGTAAGAATGGGAAAAGTTAAAAAGAATAAACTGAAAGCAAATGTAAATAAAGAAGCAGTTTTATTTTAAATGAATGTCATTAACTACACTGAAGGGAAAAAGAGAAGGAATAATCCAGGTAACCATACTATCTGACTGTATCAGTCTTGAATGGGGGCTGGGATTGGAGGGTGAATGGGCCATGAATGTAAGAATTGGAAACACGGCAGGTGCAGTGGCTCACGCCTGTAATCCCAGAACTTTGGGAGGTTGAGGTGGGTGAATTACTTGAGGTCAGCAGTTAGAGACAAGCATGGCCAACATGACAAAAGCCAGTCTCTACTAAAAATACAAAAATTAGCTGTGCATAGTGGCAAGCACTTGTAATTCCAGCTACTCAGGAAGCTGAAGCACCAGAATCTTCTGAACCTAGGAGGCAGAGGTTCTAGCGAGTCGAGATTGTGCCACTGCAGTCCAGTCTGTGGGATGGAATGAGACTCTGTCTCAGAAAAAAAAAGAATTGGAAACAAATTCTGAATGATTTTTAGTAGGTTGGTTTATTGGGATGGTATATGTAAAGCAATTATAAAATTATCTTAGATATATCACAAGTTTGAGCAAAAAATTTGATATTCTGAGGTATGGTTTTCATTGTTAAGGAAGGTACATACAAATACAGATTGGAGGAGGTGAAAGAGGACCTTGTGGGATAGATTTGAATCAAAAGTTTTTATATGAACTCATGATTTTTATTATTATTTTAGTTTAGTTTTTTGAGATGGAGTTTTGCTCTTGTTGCCCAGGCTGGAGTGCAAAGGCACGATCTCAGCTCACCACAACCTCTGCCTCCCGGGTTCAAATGATTCTCCTACCTCAGCCTCCCGAGTAGTTGAGATTATAGGCATGTGCCACCATGTCCCACTAATTTTGCATAAGAAAGATTGGAAAATAGGAAAACATACATATAACTACTTGGCTGTATAAACACAATGAAGGTAAACCAGAAGACAGTGATGTTAATTATCTACAAGTGATCACCAATCTCAGGTGATCCACCTGCCTCAGCCTCCGAAAGTGCTGGCATTACAGGCATGAGCCACCATGCCTGGCTGTCAACTCACAATTTTTAATATATATTTATATGTATGAGTATATGTATATATATGTGTACATGTAAATGTGTATATGTTCCTGTGGTTATGTATGTGGGTATATATGTGTTTCTCTGTCTCTCTCTCTCTCTCTCTCTCTCTCTCTCATTCTCTGTGTATGTGTGTATGTCCTAGCTCTGTTTGCTAAATGAACCAAGAAGCAAAGATATCCCAGTAGCAAGGGACACATCTAGTGCCGAGAACTTGTCTCCAATTCTATACTACTGAAAGAAAAAGCATTCCTTAGAGAAATAACTGATTGTAGGGTAGGTGGAAGAGGAAAGTGTAATACCTTATGTCAGAAAGTAAGTTCTGAACGAAATGAGAGCATATCATAGTGAGAGAATGCGTTCTCTTTCTGGGTCCACAAGGGGTCTTCGTAGTTTTAAGGGCAAGAACTTCCCAGCGAGATGCCCCCCTCCCATCTCTCTCCATCCGGGAGATTTAATGATTTATGTGTAAATTTTGCCAGTGTGGAAAGAAACTAAGGGTCAGTCACCCCAGTGGAAGTTTAAAGGAACTCCTTTCATTGGCCAGAGGAACTTGGGGAGGGGGGAATTTCTCCCAGGATAAATTCCCCTGCTCCTTTACCCACACCGGATTTCCAGCTCTCTGGAATTCCCTCCCACATAATGGGAGCTCTCTTTCTCCTCCTGGTTTTTCCCTGTGGGGTCTCCTTCCGCTCACTGTGGAAACTGTCTTTCCTCTTCTGGATTCTATCTTTCTGGATTCTTTCACACAGTGTGAGGGGAGTTTTCCTTCTCTGGTTTTCTCCCTCTGGGAACCCTTCTCACTCAGTGTGAGAGCAGCTTTTCTTTCTCTCATTCAGTGTGAGAGCTAGCTGTTTTTCTTTCTCTCCTTCTTTTCTCTCTGCCTAAATAGATCACTTTTATGCAACACTTTTGGGGTCTGGTATTTATTTCATGAGTGTACTGCATTGTGGTCTCCTCTCTCATTCTTGAGAGAGTGATAGACCAAGAACCTGGAGAAACATCCTCTCAGGGAAGCTGAGGACTCCCCTGAACCCCTGGACCCCAGCAATAGGGACATAGGAAACAACAGGAAAGGCCCCCCACTGGTTCAATAATGAATTATAAATCATTAATGTTGGTATTCTTGAGTCGATATGGATAATAAATAAATAACTAAGTACAGTTGACCCATGAACAATGCAGAGATTAGGGATGCCAACTCTCCATGCATTCAAAAATCTTCATATGATTTTTGACTCCTCCCAAACTTATATTCATATAAGCTATTGTGGACCAGAAGCCTTACAATAACATAGTCAACTAACACATATTTTGTATATGTGTTATGTACTGTATACTTAAAATAAAGTAAGCTCAAAAAAAGAAAATGTTATTAAAAATCATGAGGAAGAGAAAATATATTTACTATTTATTAAATGGAAGTAAATTACTATAAAGGTCCTGTCATTACATTCAATAGACTAGGAGGAAGAAGAGGAAGGGTTGGTTTTGCTATCTCAGGTGTGGCAGAGACTGAAGAAAATTATAAGAGATCTCACATTGTTCAAACCCGTTTGTTCAAGGATCAATTATAGATAGGTAAGTAGATAGCTTGAAAATGGAATAAATAATTGAAGGGAGATCACTTGCTTACAGTAGAAAGCTAAGTACTTACTTTAAATATTGAGGCAGTGTTGAATTTGATCAAAATTAAAATTACCAGTGAAGGCCAGCAGACAGACATCATATTTCCAGATATGATATCCTGGGAAAGCCACGCTCCACCTACCTAGTAGTCTGTCCAGAAGTACATAATCTGGATATAATTATGAGGAAATATCAGATAAACCTCTAGTAAGTAAGGTTCTATTATACAAAAAGATGATTCTCCCCAGATGTTAAAATCATGAAACACAGACCAGGTGTGGTGGCTTACGCATGTAATTGCAGCACTTTGGGAGGCTGGAGAGGATGGATCACCTGAGGTCTGGAGTTTGAAACCAGCCTAGCTAATGTGGCAAAACCCCATCTCTACTAAAGATACAAAATTAGCTGTGCGTGGTGGTGCATGCCTGTAATCCCAGCTACTTGGGAGGCTGAGGCAGGAGAATCACTTGAACCTGGGAAGTGGAGGTTGCAGTGAGCGAAGATCATGCTACTGTGCTCCAGCCTGGGCAACAAGAGCAAAACTCTGTCTCATAAAAAAAAAAAAAAAAAAAAAAGAAAGAAAAAAAACATCACGAAACACAAAGGAAGTCTGTGGAAAGGAGATGAAAGAGACGTGATGACTAAAGCAATATCTTACTCTAAAGTAGATTATGTACTGAAGGGGAAAATGCAATAGAGACCTTGTTAGATTAGCTGACAAATTTGGAATATGAATCCTAGATTACATGAAAGCATTAGATCATTGATACATTTACTGAAGTTGATAACTGTACTGTGGATATGTAAGAAAATATCTGCATTGTTTTGTAAATACATACTGAAGTATTTATGGGTAAAGAGCCATGACATATGTAACTTTCAAAATATATGTGAGTGTGTGTGTGTGTGTGTGTGTGTGTTTGTGTTTGTGTGTATGTGTATGTGTATAGAGTAAGAGAGAGATAGGAAGAGAAGGACAAACAGAACAGAGATAGAGTTGGCAAAGAAAAAAAGGCAAATGAGGTAACATGATAATAGATGAATCTGGGTAAAGCTTATACACATATTTTCTGTATCATTTTTATTCATGCATTTTCTCTGTAAATTTGAAATTATTTTCAAATATAAAGTTAAAAAGATTATATAATACTGTATCTTGTAAGAGTTCAGAGTTATAGATATGTAACATTTTATATATATACATGTTGATAAGTTTATAAGTTAAACTGAATTGATAAACCACTGAATCTAAGATTTTTTTTGAGATATCTAATGATATTGTTGAGTTAATCGAATATACATGTTGAGAAATTTTTCAATGAATAAAATTTGATTACATAAAATAAATTGTTAGATCATATAGTTTTAAAATTTATATTAACTGGCAAAATATTTTAAGTATGATAATTATCTCTACAGTATCAGAATCTCATGTTTAGATTATTTCCTTCTAAAAGTCTGTCTGCCTTAGTAAGGCACATAAAACATCACTATGTTAGTATATAGGTGATTTTGTTAAAAGCTATATATTTTATGTTTTGATGGGTACAATATCTTAATTCATCTACATTTTCTTCACTCCATTAAGAAATAAATTAACTCCAGATGTTATATTACTCAAAAGGCAGGTTTTAACTCATGAAGTATCAAAATGTATTGTAGTTGCTTATTAGCATATTTTCCTGTTCTTCACTAGAGATTTTTACCTATGAAATCAATAACCCCGGCTCCTGGCACATATAACGAACCTCGAACTGCTATCAAGTCCTTGAAGAAAACAGGACTGAAAAATATTCCATTTGGTCAAAGTGCTGTTCGATTCACACAGGACATCAGGACAGAGGAGATGCCAGGTTAGCAATTAATCTATAAATGTCTTCTCTTTGGCTTTATAAAGTAACTTAATGTTCTTAACAAGATGGATATACCAGATAGTATGTTTTCTTTTTTGTCCTATGGTTGGTGGTACTATTTTAAGTCAACATTTTTTTAAAGCATTCACTATACATTAAACACAGATAAATCAAAATAATGTGCAGTTTCAGTAAGATTTCAGTTTAACATTTTACACATCCTAATTGTAATTTTCTATTGTTTTTCTTTATTTGTTAAATTTTCTGATTTTCTCTTGGCAGATAAACCACGTAATATATCAACTATGTGGTCACTATTAGTAATATAATTTATGATGTTCAGTTTTATTAAATTTTTTTAAATTTCAGAGATGTTAAATCACATATTCTGGTATTGTCAGTGGATATTCTAATGTTCAGAGCCAAGAATATAGAACAAAGTAAAATTTAAAATTGCTGACATACAGTTCTGGATCTCTATTGCTGTGTAACAATCTTAGTGGCTTAAAACAACAGGTTTTTCTATTATATTTCTTTATTTTGTGGGATGGCTAGAAGGCAGTGCTCAGATGGGTCTGTTATTCAAAGTATGTACATAGCTCCAGCATGGCTGCCTCGGGGCAGCCTGACTTTTAACATGGTGGCCTAGGGTTCCATGAGACTGACCAGATGTTGTAAGATTTTTTATGACCCAGACACAGGACTCCCAGGACATCATTTCTTCTGCATTCTGTTAGTTAATTAAGTCACTCAGAGTAGCACATATTGATGGGAAGGGCATGAAACTTTATACCTCAGTGAGAAGAGTAGCAAAGAATTGATGGCCAGTTTTAATCTACTTTAATGATCAATTTCCTGGCCACAAAATATTTACAATACATGCACCTACTCCTTTCCAAGGTCCCAAAAGTTTCATGTAATTATGTCATAATTTCAAAGCACAGGACCTCTTTAAAAAAAATTTTTTTTTGAGACATTCATTTCTGTCATTCAGGCTGGAGTGCAGTGGTGTTCACTGCAGCCTCCAACTCCTGGCTCAAGGTATCTCCTGCCTCAGCCTTCTGAGTAGCTGGGACTACATGTGCATGCTACAATGCCTGGCTATTTAAAAAAATTTTGGCCGGGAGCGGTCGCTCACACCTGTAATGCCAACACTGGGAGGTTTAGGCGGGCAGATCACAAGGTAAGGAGATCAAGACCAACCTGGCCAACATGGTGAAACCCTGTCTCTACTAAAATACAAAAAGCTGGGCATGGTGGTGTACATCTGTAATCCCAGCTACTCAGCAGCCTGAGGAAGGGGAATCGCTTTAACCTGGGAGGCAGAGCTTGCAATGAGCCAAGATTGCAACACTGCATTCCAGCCTGGTAACAGAGCAAGATTCCATCTCAAAATAATAATAATAATAAATTAAATTAAAAAATTGTGGTGATGAGTCCTCATTTCGTGGCCCAGACTGGTCTTTAACTTCTAACCTCAAATGATCTTTCCACCTCGGCTCTCAAAATATTGGGATTACAAGTGTAAACCACAATTCCCAGCCCCGGATCTTGTCATCTAAGTTAGGTATAGGTGCAGATGAGGATTCTTGTGCTTGGTTCTTAAGATGCAACTCATTCTCTGTAAGCAGAGCTGTGAACCAAAGAGAGGGTTGGTTCAACCACCATACAGTGTGAGAGAGAGAGAGGATGATCAGATTAGACACTCCTATTCAAGAAGAGGGAAAACTGGAGGCCCACAGCAGTCACAGTGCCATAGCAATTCTGAAATTCAGGTGGGCACATGTTAGCATTTCCTTGATGAGGATCCAGTAAAGCTTTCCAGGGGGAATGATTTTCTGTGTTTCTTTGTTCTGGCTTTGGGCTCTTAGTTCTGTTTTGAGTCATCCTTTTTCTCCGTGAAATAGACTGTGTTTGCAGCTGGAACTTCTCAGCCAGCTTCTATCAGCTTCTTTTCATTTTTATTCTCCTTGTCCCTTTTATCCTAAGATGGTATGATTCTTATAAAAACTTTGAGTTACTTATCGTGTTAATTTATAATGAAATACACTAGACAAAAGCCACACTTATATTTACTTAGAAAAAAATTTTTTTTATAACCGTTGAGGCTGTTATGTATTTTGTATCACCCTTGTCTATTTTGTATTACCTTTGAGGCTATTATGTTTTTAACACCGTTAAGTTCTTAGGGCACCATTGTCTAAGTGAAAAGGGCCTGGGATACAAGACTTTAAGATTTTTTTTCTATTTTTAAAAATTATTATACTTTAAGTTCCAGGGTTCATGTGCAGATCATGCAGGTTTGTTATGTGCTGTGGTGGTTTGGTTTGCATCCATCAACCCATCATCTACATTAGGTATTTCTCCTAACACTCTCCTTCCCCTTGCCCCTCAGGCCCCAACAGGCCCAGGTGTGTGATGTTCCCCTCCCTGTGTCCATGTGTTCTTGCTGTTCAACTCCCACTTATTAGTGAGAACATGCAGTGTTTGGTTTTCTGTTCTTGTGTTAGTTTCCTGAGAATTATGTTTTCCAGCTTCATCCATGTCCTTGCAAAGGACATGAACTCATCCTTTTTTATGGCTACATAGTATTCCATGGTATATATGTGCCACATTTTCTTTATTCAGTCGAGCACTGATGGGTATTTGGGTTGATTCCAGTTCTCTGCTATTGTCAACAGTGTTGCAGTAAACATACATGTGCATGTGACAAGACCTTAAGATTCTTAAGGCCCCTTTTTGAGAGGTTTTATGAAGGGTTACCATAAATATTTTAAAAAATTAAACAAAACGTCTTACAGCCAAATGCTGCTTTTCATCTTTGCCTTGAGGCCATTTCTTTGAGAGATGTTTATTTTCTGTATAGATTGGGGATGAAAAACAGTTTTATTTTCAAATCTGGCAAATTCTAGTTCCTTTTTATTTCCTAAATATTCTCCTTGAAAAGTTAACACTGTATTACTTTTCACTTATTTATTTATTTTATAAACTTTTAAATTCAAGGGTACATATATAGGATTGTCATATAGGTAAATTTGTGTCATGGGGGTTTCTTTTAGATTATTTCATCACCAGATATTAATCCTACTACGCGTTAGTTTTTTTCCTGATTCTATCTCTCCTCCCACCCTCCACCATTGGTAGGCCCCATTGTCTGTGGTTTCTTTCTATGTATCCATATGTTCTCATTTTTTTGTTTTCGCTTATAAGTGCAAACGTGGTCTTTGGCTCTATGTTTCTGTTTTAGTTTGCTGAGGATAATGGCCTGTAGCTCCATCCATGTTTCTATATAAGACATGATCTCATTCTTTTTTTATGGCTGTATAGTATTTCATGGTATATATGTACCACCTTTATCTAGTCTACCACTGATTGGCATTTAAATTGATTCCATGTCTTTACTATTGTGAATAGTGTTGCAATGAACATACATGTGCCTGTGTTGTTATAATAGAATAGTTTATATTCCTTTGGGTATATACCCAGTAATGGAATTGCTGGGTCAAATGGTAATTCTAGAAAACTGAACAGTTTAAACTCTTTTCCTTCTATCTATACCTTCTCACACATGGATAAAAGGAACTGTTGGCACTTTGACATTCCACCTGGAAATTTCCTTAGTTAGAATCTAGCTGTTCTTTATATATTTTCTTCATTACCTCAAGCATTAGTGTTGCTAAAATTTCTGCCATTGCATAATATCAGTTATCATTTTTCCATCCTCTAATGACATTTTCCTCACTGTCTTTCAAGTCATCACCAACAGTCTCCTCAAGGCCTTTATTCTAACTCTTCAAGTTGCTCTAGTTTCTGACCTATTGCCTGATTCCAAAACCACTGCCACAAATTTGAGTTTGGTTATAGTAATATACTTGGTACTACTAATTCCATGGAGAGATTAAGTTTTGCTCTTCTTCCCTTCAGTCATGACTAGTCCTGGTGCTTTCTTGATGAATGCATAGAGTGGAAATGATATTCTAGCACTTCCTAGACAAAGTCATATGCTTTACAGATAGACTTGGTCATCTTGAAACAATTGGTCTTGGAGCCCTGAGCCTCTATGTTGAAGTATGACTAAACTCAGTAGTGTTTATCGTTGTAAACTTGAAATAATCAGAAGGATCAGAATTCAGTTTAAGAAAGTTTTTTCAAGTACAAAGATGAGAATAGCTATTCAAGTCACCTCTTGAATGCTTTGCTGCTTAGAAATTTCTTCTGCCAGATACCATAAATCATGTTTTTTAAGTTCAAAGTTTCACAAATCTCTAAGGCAGGGGAAAAATGCCACCAGTCTGTTTGCAAAAATATAACAAAAGTCACTTTTGCTTCTGTTCCCAACAAGTTTCTTCTCTCCATCTGAGGCCACCCCAGCCTGGACTTTATTGTGCATATCACTGTCAACATTTTGGTCAAAGCCATTCAACAAGTCTCTAGGAAGTTCCAAACTTTCTCACGTTTTTCTGTCTTTTCTGAGCCCTGTAAACTGTTTCAACCCCTGCATGTTACCCAGTTCCAAAGTTGCTTCCCCATTTTTGGGTATGTAGATCAGTGCCCCGCTCTACTGGTACCAGTTTACTATATTAGTCTGTTTTCATGCTACTAATAAAGGCATACCTAAGATTGGGCAATTTACAACAGAAAGAGGTTTAATGGTCTTATAGTTCCACATGATTGGGAAGGCCTCACAATCATGGCAGAAGGTGAAAGTTATGTCTGACGTGGCAGCAGACAACTCCTTGTTTTAAGACCATCAGCCTTCATGACATTTATTCACTATCACAAGAACAGCACAGCAAGATTCCTTCCTCTTGATTCAATTACCTCCCGATAGGTTCCTCCCACGACACAGAAGAATTGTGGGAATTACAATTCAAGATGAAATTTGTGTGGGGACACAGCCAAATTATATCAGCAAGTATATGTTCACTTTGTAAGAATTCAACAAAATTTAAAAATGTGACTATGCTATTTTGCATTTATGCCAGCAATATGTAATTTTTTTCCCAAAACAAAACCCCTTAATTAAAAATTACTCAGTTCAAAAGGTGCAAATAAAAGCATGCTTTTTCTTACTTATGGTATTTTTAAATAATTTTAGGTCCTGGGTTTTATAATATCCTGAACAATACTATAATTGCCAATATTAGAAATATCTGCTCAAAGAAACAGGAGAAATGTGCATTTGGTTCTTCTGTTCCTCGGACTTTCTTCTTGGTTCAGAAAGAAGCTTGTGTTACCCCTGGGCCTGCTGATTATCAGGTAATACATTCATACCAAACTATATTCTTTATGTTAAATATCAAGCTCTTAGGTTTCTCTTGAATTTACATGTTATAATTAATAGAAAAAGATGTCAAACAATCATTATAACAATATTCCATATGTTAAGTAAAATAGGAGAAGTATTGAACATATTGAATATAAAGAAATGGCAGAAATATAAAGACACATTGAATTTCTAGAGATGAAAAATATAGTGTTTGAAAAAATATGCTCTGAGGATGTGTTCACGGGAAGGTGATCAGAATGGTGAACATGCACAAGTTTCAACCATGTCACCCAAAGAACATTTGAAAAAAGTGAAGATGTTTAATACAGAGCAGAAAAGACTTACAGAGAATAAACTAGACATTGGTTTTAAAATGGAAAGCTTTCTAATATGGAAAAAGTTCTGTGTGACATATGGAATTCTATCAGGACCAATAGGTGAAAACTGTAGGGTTTCATGTTTCAGTTCAGTGAAAGTAATAACTGAATTTTGTGTATTACAGTTTTAAGATGTATGGTATGATTTTAAGAGAACAACAGCAGGAACAATGAAAAACAAACCAGAAAATATATGTATAACAATTTAAAGGTGGAAATTGTTACATAACTACATTGAAATCTGTTGCCCTTAGTTGCAGATACATGAATTCTTATGTGTTTTATTATACATACAATTTATATTTGTGGGATTAATTCTTATAATTTAGACATTATTTTTTCTCAGGTTTTTAATATTTATTTAAACTTATTTTTCTGAGGGTTGTTTTCTATGTATATGTGCTCAAAGAAGTTTATTTTCTGTGTAAACATCTATTTTAATTCTTTGTTTTTAATCATTAAGAGACAATTCTCTGTGTGTTTTGTGTTTCTACACACCTTTGCTTGGACCTTTTTACAGATGATTGTTCAGGAAACAGCCTTCCAAGATAGAATGTCTCCCTCCTAAGCAGAGGGAGTGCTTAGTGCTCTTTATAAAAGATTCAGGTTCCCGGAGCTCACAGTTTTTCTCCCATAACAAAGCCGACTTTGTATGCAGGTATTTACTTTGCCCCGTCAGCCTTGTCCACAGTAGAACTTTAGGGCGAGGAGGACTGATGCAAATGTGCTGTTGTCATGCTGTTTGTTATGCCATGAGTAATAAAGTTCTTTGTCTCTGACTCAGAAGTTTTGCATTTTTCTGTAAAACTGTGGCAGGTTAACTTACTAAGTTGAAGTAGGGCAAAATTTCAGACCCATCATAGTCCTTCCTCTTCACATATTATTAACTTATAGATATCTTTATTTTGTTATATTTTACTCCCACAGGTCCCAGTAGTGCATCTGACAGCCTCCTCAAAACGGCTCTCTAGTTTCTGTCAATTTAATTTATAAATTTACAAGTTCATTATTAAATTGCAATTGTGAGAACAAGTTTAACATACATGTACTCTAAAGTCATTTTTTTAGCTTACTAGATTTCTAGATTTCTAGACTTACAGTTTTTGAGTTTCTGTCATTAACCTTTGATATTTGTCTTTAATTTCTTTTGTTCATTTAGTCTGATACATCCATCCATCTCTCTCTCTCTCTCTCTCTCTCTCTGTCTGCCTATCTATGTATCTATATATCTATCTATCTATCTCCGTGTGTGTGTGTTTCAAATATATATATATATTTAAAGAGGATCTCACTCTGTTGCCCAGGCTGGAGTGCAATGGTGTGGTTATGGCTCACTGCACTCTTGCCCTTCTGGGTTCAAGTGATCCTCCTGCCTCAGCCTTCTGTGTGGCCAGGATCACAGGCACAGGCCATCACACCTGGCTATTTAAAAAAATTTTTTGGTAGAGATAAGGTCTCACTTTATTGCCCAGGCTGATCTTGAACTCCTGGAATCAAGTGATCCCCTGCCTCAACCTTCTGACACATTGGTGTTACAGAGTGAGTCACCGCACCCAGTATATATTTTTAACTGTGGTAAAAAAAAAATATTAAATTTATTATCTTAATTACTTTAAGTGCTGATATAAGTATATTTTAAATGCATCATGAACGTTAGTAATTTTTAGAATATTTCTGCTCTATTTCGTTTAAACTGTACTAACAGTTCATTATTCTTAGTAACCTAACATTTAGATAAAAAGAATTATGGTATTTATTCTTCACTGTAGATATTGAGAAGTCTAGCACAGTGATTACTAGCATGATCTCTGGACTCAGAGTGCTTGAATATACTTTTTTGCTCTGCAACTGATCTTTTGCAAGTTATTTTAACTCTTTATGCTTAGTAAAATGAAGATAATAATAGTACATACCTAAAAGTGTTACTGCAAATACTAAGTGAATCAAAAATTTCTTTGAATATCTTATGGCACATAGTATGGACTCAGTAAATTTCTTATTCTTGTTGACAATCTGAAACTACCTATAGGTATAACTCAGACTTAATTTATAGAATATTTGACAAACTAAAATCAAGAGTGTAATATAGATCCTAAACATGTCTGATTTAAAAAAAATCAGTCTGGTAAACCTTTTGTTTAATTGTAGCATCAGTTGATTTATGTTTAATTTGGTTATCAACATGGTTGTGTTTGCCTGCGTTACACTATTTTATATACTGTATTGGCTCATTTGTTTTGCCACTTAATTTTTTTTTAATTTCCATGGGTTACTGGGGAACAGGTCATGTTGGGTTACATGAATAAATTCTTTATTGGGGATTTGTGAGATTTTGGTGCACCCATTATCTGAGCAGTATACACTGCACCGTATTTGTAGTCTTTTATCTCTCACCCACTTCTACACATTCCCCCTGAGTTCTCAAAGTCCATTGTGTCACTCTTATGCCTTTGCTTCCTCATAGCTTAGTCCCACATATGAGTGTGAACATAAGATGTTTGGTTTTCCATTCCTGAGTTACTTCACTAAGAATAATTGTCTTCAGTCTCATCCAGGTTTCTGTGAATGCCATTAATTCATTTCTTTTTATGGCTGAGTAGTATTCCATTGTGTGTGTGTGTGTGTGTGTGTGTGTATGTTTGTGTGTGTGTATATATATATATATATACACACACACACAATATTCCATTGGGTGTGTGTGTGTGTATATGCACATATATATGCATATATATATGTGTGTGTATATGTATACATATATATGTATACACACACACAAACACACACACATATATACACATACACACACACACACAACATTCCATTGTTGAGTACACACACACTTCCCACAGTTTCTTTATGCACTCATTGGCTGATGGGTATTTGGGTTGGTTCCACATTTTTGCAATTGTGAATTGTGCTGTTATAAACATGTGTGTCTTAGTATCTTTTTTGTATAATGACTTCTTTTCCTCTGGGTAGATAACCAGTAGTGGGATTGCTAGATCAAATGGTAATTCTACTTTAAGTTTTTAAAGGACTCTCCACACTGGTTTTCATAGTGGTTATACTAGTTTACATTCTAACCAGCAGTGTAGAAGTGTTCCCTGTTCACTGCCTACATGCCAAGATCTATTATTTTTGGATTTTTTTTATTATGGCCATTCTTGCAAGAGTAAAGTGGTATTGCGTTGTGTAGTTCAGCATTTTTTCATATGTTCATTGGTCATTTGTGTATCTTCATTTGAGAATTATATATTCATGTCCTTAGCCCACTTTTTGATGGGATTGTTTGTTTTTTTGCTAATTTGTTTGAGTTTGTTGTAGATTCTAGATATTAGTCTTTTGTTAGATGTGTAGATTATGAAGATTTTCTCCTACTCTGTGGGTTGTTTGTTTACTCTGCTGACTGTTCCCTTTGCCTTGCAAAAGCTCTTGAGTTTAATTAAGTCCCAGTTATGCATTTATGTTGGGTTTTTGGTCATGAAATAGTTGCCTAAGCCAATGTCTAGAAGGGTTTTTTTTACAGATGTTATCTTCTAGAATTTTTATAGTTTCATATTGTAGATTTAAGTCATTGACCCATCTTGAATTGATTTTTGTATAAAGTGAGAGATGAGGATCCAGTTTTATTCTCCTACATGTAGCTTCCCAATTATCCCGGCACTGTTTGTTGAATGGGTTTTTTTTTTTTTTTTTTTTTTTTTTTTCTGCTTTATGTTTTTGTTTGCTTTGTTGAAGATCAATTGACTGTAATTATTTGGGTTTATTTCTGGGTTCTCTATTTTGTTCCATTGGTCTATGTGCCTATGTTTATACCAGTACCATGCTGTTTTGGTGACTGTGGCCTTAAAATGTAGTTTGAATTCAGGTAATGTGCTGCCTCCAGATTTGTTCTTTTTGCTTGAGGGCTCTTCTTTGATTCTATATAAATTTTAGGACTTTTCTTTTTAGTTCTTTGAGAGTGATGATGTTACTTTATTGGAATTGCATTGAATTTGTAGATTGCTTTTGGCAGTATGGTAATTTTCACAGTATTGATTGTACCCATCCATGATTATGGGATGTGTTTCCATTTGTTTTTTGTTGTCTGTGATTTCTTTCAGCAGTGTTTTGCAGTTTTCCTTGTAGAGGTCTTTCACCTCCTTAGTTAGGTATATTCTTAAGTATTTAATTTTTCTTGCAGCTATTGTAAAGGGGTTAAGTTCTTGATTTGATTATCAGCTCATTGTTGGTGTATAGGAGAGCTACTGATTTGTGTACATTAATTTTGTATCTGGAAACTTTGCTGAAGTCTTTTATCAGTCCTAGGAGATTTTTTGGAGGAGTGTTTATGGTTTTCTAGGTATAAAGTTATATAATAAGCAAACAGTGACAGTTTTACTTTCTCTTTACCAATTTGCATGCCCTTTATTTCTTTCTCTTATCTGATTGCTCTGGCTAGTACTTCCAGTACTATGTTGAATAAAAGTGGTAAGAGTAGGCATCTTTGTCTTGTTCCAGTTCTCAGAGCTAATGCTTTCAACTTTTCCCCATTCTGTATTATGTCGGTTGTGGTTTGTCGTAGATGGCTTTTATTACATTGAGGTATGTCCCTTGTATGCCGATTTTGCTGAGAGTTTTAATGATAAAGTGATGCTGGATTTTGTCAAATGCTTTTTCTGCCCTATTGAGATAATCATGTGATTTTTGTTTTTAATTCATTTTATGTGATGTATCACATTTATTGACTTGTGTATGTTAAACCATCCCTGCATCCCTGGTGTGAAACCCACTTGATCATGGTAGATTATCTTAGATTATCTTTTTGATGTGTTATTGGATTCAATTTTCTAGTATTTTGATAAGGATTTTTGCCTCTATGTTCATCAGGGATATCAATCTGTAGTTTTCTTTTTTTGTTATATCCTTTCCTTGTTTTGGTATTAGGGTGATACTGGCTTTATAGAATGATTTAGAGATGTTTCCCTCTTTATCTTTTGGAATCGTGTCAAAAGGATTGGTTCATTTCTTCTCAAATGTCTGGTAGAATTCAGCTGTGAATCCTTCTGGTCCTGGACTTTTTTTTGTTGATAATTTTTTATTACCATTTCAATATTGCTGCTTGTTATTGGTTTGTTCAGGGTATCTGATTCTTTCTGATTTAAGCTAGGTTGGTTATATCTTTCCAGGAATTTATCTGTCTTCTCTAGGTATTCTAGTTTTTGTGTGTAAAGGTGTTCATAGTAGCCTTGAATGATTTTTTGTATTTCTGTAGTGTCGTAATATCTCTTGTTTTGTTTCTAATTGAGCTTATTTGGATTTTCTCTCTTCTTTTCTTGGTTAATCCTGCTAATGGTTTGTCAATTTTATTTATCTTTTTGCTTTTTGTTTTATTTATCCTTTGTATTGTTTTGTTTCAGTTTCATTTAGTTCTGCTCTGATCTTGGTTATTTCCTTTGTTTTGCTGGGTTTGGGTTTGGTTTGTTCTTGTTTCTCTAGTTCTTTGAGGTGTGACCTTAGATTGTCTCTTTGTGTTATTTAAGACTTTTTGATGTAGGCATTTAGGAGTATGAATTTTCCTCTTAGCACTGCCTTTGCTGTATCCCAAAGTTTTGACAGGTTCTTTGTTGACTCTGTCTTGATTCCCTGTCTATTGCTATCAGTGAAGTATCAAAGTCGCCCACTATTATTGTGTTGCTGTCTGTCTCATTTCTTAGGTCTAGTAGTGTTAAGTGCATGTATGTTTAGAAATGTTATGATTTTCTGTTGAACAAGGCCTTTTATTATTATATAATTTTTTTTTGTCTTTTTAAACTGCTGTTGCTTTATGGTTTGTTTTGTCTGATATAAGAAGAGCTACTTCTACTGGCTTTGGGTGTCCATTTGCATGTAATGTCTTTTTTCCAACCCCTCTTTATGTTAAGTTTATATGAGTTTTTATATGTTAGGTGTCTTTTGAAGAAAGCAGATAGTTGGCTGGTAAATTCTTATTCCTCCTGCAATTCTGTATCTTTTTAAGTAGAGCATTTAGGCAATGTACATTCAATGTTAGTATTGAGACGTGACGTACTATTCCATTCATCATGCTATTTGTTGCCTATATACCTTGGTTCATTCATTCCTTTCTCCTCTCCTCTCCTCTTTCTTTTCTTTTCTTTTTTCCTTCTTTTTTCAGACACAGCCTCTCTCTATTGCCCAGGCCTGAGTGCAGTGGCACAGTCTTAGCTCACTACAACCTTTGCCTTCCAGGTTCAAGCAATTCTCATGCCTCAGCCTTTCAAGTCACTGGGATTATGGGCACACACCACCACACCCTGCTAATTTTTGTATTTTTAGTAGAGACAGGGTTTTGCCACATTGGCTATACTGGTGTCGAACTCCTGACCTCAAGTGATCTGTTTCCCTCAGCCTCCCAAAGTGTTGGGATTACAGGTGTGAGCTACTGTACTTGGTGATTGTTTTTTTTTTTTTTTTTTTTTAGTTGTGTTTTTGTTTTTCAGATCTTGTGAGATTTATGGTTTAAAGAGGTTCTGCTTTCATATGTTTCTGGGATTTGTTTTAAGATTTAGGGCTCCTTTTAGCAGTTCTTATAGTACTGGCCTGGTAGTGGCAAATTCTCTCAGCATATGTTTGTCTGAAAAAGGTTGTATGTTTTCTTCAATTCTGAAGCTCAGTTTCACTGGATACAAAATTCTTGGCTGATAATTGCTTTGTTTAATGAGGTTGAAGATGGGGCCCCAATCTCTTCTAGCTTGTAGGATTTCTGCTGAGTAATCTGCTGTTAATCTGATAGGTTTTTCCTTACAGGTTATCTGGTGCTTCTGCCTCACAGCTCTTAAGATTGTTTCCTTGTGTTAACTTTAGTTAACTTGATGGCAGTGCCCCTAGGCAATGATCTTTTGAGATGAATTTCCCAGTAGTTTTTTGAGCTTTTTGTATTTGGATGTCTAGGTTTCTAGCAAGGCTGGTGAAGTTTTCCTCAGTTATTTCCCCAAGTATGTTTTCCAAACTTCTAAATTTCTTTTTCCTCAGGAATGCCTATTATTCTTAGGTTTGGTCGTTTAACATAATTCCAGACTTCTTGTAGGCTTTGATCATATTTACTTATTATTTTTTCTTTCTTTGAATGGGTTAATTCAAAAACTTTGTCTTCAAGCACTGAAGTTCCTTCTACTTGTTCCATTCTATTACTGAGACTTTCCAGAGCATTTTACATTTCTATTAGTGTGTCCATTGTTTCCTGAAGTTTTGATTGTTTTTTATTTATGCTATTTATTTCATTGAGTATTTCTCCCCTTGTTTCTTCTTCTTCTTCTTCTTCTTCTTTTTTTTTTAGATGGAGTCTCGCTCTGTTACCCAGGCTGGAGTGCAGTGACACAATCGTGGCTCACTGTAGCCTTCCTCTCCTGGGATCAAGCAATTCTCTTGCCTCAACCTCCTGAGAAGCTGGGACTACAGGTGCACGCTGCCATGCCTGTCTTTTTTTTTGTATTTTTTTTAGTAGAGATAGGTTTCACCATGTTGTGCAGGCTGATCGTGAACTCCTGACCTCAGGAAATCTGCCCACCTCAGCCTCCCAAAGTGCTAGGATTACAGGCATGAGCCCACTGTGCCTGACCTTGTTTCTTATATATTTATTTTTTGATTTTCTTAAATTGTGCTTTGCCTTTCTCTCCTGCCTTTTTGATTAGCTTAATAACTTCCTTCTGAATTATTTTTCAGGTAAATCAGGGATTTCTTCCTGATTTGGATCCATTGCTGGTGAGCTAATGTGATTTTTTTTGAGGATGTTAGTCAATCTTGTTTTGTCATATTACCAGAGTTGGTTTTTGGTTCTTTCTCATTAGAGTAGGCACTGTCAGAGGAAAGGTGTAGGACTCAGGCTGTTTCAAAAGAAACAAGATTCTTTTGTCCCATGGAGTGTTCCCTTGATGTATTATTCTCCCCACTTTCCTAGGGATGTGGCTTTCTGCCAGCCAAGCTGTAGTGATTGTTATGTCTCTTCTGGATCAAGCCACCCAGCAGGTCTATTAGGCTTCTGGCTAGTGGGTTGTCTGCACAATTCTGTGATGTGAACCATCTATGTGTCTCTTAGCCATGGATACCAGCACAATATTTGAGGTTTCTCCCAGTTCCTGTAGGAGCAGTCTGCTTTCTTCAGTGGGTCTGTGTGTTCTCTCAGCTTTCCTGATTTATTTCCACAGTAGATCTGGAGCAAAATTTCATGACCTGAAACTCCATACACTGCTCTGTCCGTCCAAGTGGGATGGAATCTAGTTCTACCTCCCATCTGCCATGATTTCCATTATCCATTTTTCCTTATTTTGTTCTTTCTTGGATTAATCAAAAATTATAATCAAATAAAATATTAAAGAAGTATTTTAGTTTATTCCATTTCGTCAACATCTATTACATTTTCTAGTTTTGTTTTACTATTTTTTTAGTTACCTATTGCAATCCAATAAAAAGGATGACCTTTACCACTTTCTCAATAAGACTAACTTAGAACATTTTAACTCCATTTTGTTATCTTGTATTTTATTTAATTATTGTCACACATTTTAAATCCATATATTTTAAGTTTTTTGAGTATTATTATTTTGTTGTGTGGATTCCGTTTATTTTTCTGTTGGGCTTCATTTTTTTTTTTGCACTTGTATTTTTATAAAAAATGGAATCATTTTTCTTCTGTCTGAAAAACTCTCTTTAGCATTTCTTCTGGTCCAAGTCTGATGCTGAATATTACAGTTTTTGTTTGTCTGAAATGTATTTTGTTATTTTTGAATGATTTATTTTTTAGTATAGATTTTTAGGTTGGTGATTATTTTCAGCACCTTAATAATATTTTTTTATTTTAGACTTTCCATTTTTTTCTATTAAGAAGTAAGCAACCCAGCTTATTGTTTCTTTGAGAGAGAAATTATCTTTGGTTTTTAACCTTTGATGTGTCTGAAGTGTTTTTTTTCTTCTTAATACATTTGCCTGAGGTTTACAGAACCTTTGAATTTCTGGGTTTATGTCTTTTATCAGTTTTAAATAATTCTTGGATATTATCTTTTTCTGTATTTTGTCATGTCATTTCTTACTGTTCTTTCCAAGACTCTAATAAATGTATATGTTGGAACTATTCACCATGCCTCAAACACTCTTAGCGTTCTTCTGTATTATAATTTTTTGTTTTCATGCTATACAGTTTAAATATTTTCTACTGAGTTATAATTTAATTCACTACTGTTATTTCAACTACAACTAAATCAATGTACTGACTTCTTAATTTTAGATATTGTATTTTTTATTTCTAGAATGCCTGTTTAATTATTTCTTAAAGAATTTATTTCTCAGGACAAATTCTTTATGATTTTAACTATTTCTTTTCTATTTATTGAACACATTAATCATAGTTTTATTTTATTTTATTTTATTGAGATGGAGTTTTGCTTTTGTTATCCAGGCTGGAGTGCAGTGGCACTGTCTCAGTCCACCGTAACCTCCATCTCCCAGGTTCAAGTGATTTTCCTGCCTCAGCCTCCTGAGTAGCTGGGATTATAGGCATGTGCCACCATGCCCAACTAATTTTATATTTTTAGTAGAGATGGGGTTTCTCCATGTTGGTCAGGCTGGTCTTGAATTCCTGACCATAGGTGATCTGCCTGCCTTGCCTTCCCAAAGTGCTGGGATTACAGGCATGATGCACTGCACCTGGACTAATAATAGTTTCCAAAAAATTTTTGTCTGCAAACTCTAATATCTGGTTCACCCATTAGTCTGTTATTTTATGTTTTTTTTTTTTCCTCTTGATTTTTGATCATGCATTCTGTTTTTGGCATGTTCCATAATTTTTAATAGCATACTAGATTCTGTGTATAAAACATTGTAAAGATTTTAAGTGATGTTATTTTTCTACTAGGGAGGTTTCATACTTTCTTCTGCAAGGCAGATATAGGTGAGATAAAATCACCTTAATCCAATTATGAACTGTGCTAATTACATTTTGCTATTACTTAATTTACCTCTTGGTTGTTTTATTTTCTGAAGTGTAGTATTCTGGGGATATCAAATATGAGCCTGATGTTTTTGAGGGCCCTTCTTTCTATCAGGTTCTTAACTTTACTCTTTGATATCGCTGTATTTCAATTTGTTGACTTAGATTTTTAGCCTCATACTGCCTTTATTTATTACAAATATCTTGGTCAAGAAATAGGCCATGTGTTTTGAGGCTCCTAAAATTTGCAGTTTTGTCATTCTGGCCCAATAAGACACAGTTCCTTAGTGGCCTTTCTCCACCAAGCCAAATCTCAAATGTTTACTCTGTTGCCTTTATCAGAAAATGCCCTGAGGGAGAATATACCTGCAGACCAGTAGCTCACCTCTCAGAGGTTCTACTTTTGTCAGAATTGTAGCCTTTTGGTCTATGCTACTTCTACAACTCAATGATGTCTTTAAAAACAGGATTTTGTTACATTTTGCCTGAATTTATTTTTAATTAATTGTGTTGAAATGTGATCTTTTGTAAACTACCCATTTCCTCTAGAGTGAAAGCCATCCAATGAGAAATTAATTTCTTGGTAATGTCATTCAAAGTTGCTAACTTTCACCCCCTAAGCACTAAAAACTGCAAAATGTTTTGGAGCTTTCTTATGTAATAATTTCTAGTACCATATATATGACAGTAATCAAATTATTGTAATATCTTTTTTTCCAAGGTGGCAGATTGGAGACAAGCACTAATTAGCATGTCTATTCTATTTGGAAAGACAAAATAGTTTATAGCAATTCTTACTGTGAACTTTTTTTCTGAAAAGCAAGGCAGGAACTTAACAGGAAAACTGAAAGAAATCACAGACCCTTTGAAAGAAGTGGCAAGCTGCAGCCCACACAGCCATGTGAAAAACTAAGTCCTCGGAGTGTGAAAGGCAGAGAGAATGCCTTCAGGATATGCACCCACACTGGAGAACCTGGCAATCCACGCATGGGGGAATGCTGTGACTCTACCCGGTACTAGAACTGATTTAAGGAGCAGTGGGGAATATAAAAGTATTAGCAGTGTGGGAAGAGCCTTGCAGGCATTTTCAGTCTCCAGTGCAAACCAAGGGAAGCCATTCCTGATTCTGTGTCATTGGGGATCTCTCAAAAGTCTGCTAGCTAACTCAGGCAGTGGTTGCAGGTTGAGAGAAGCTCCCAGTTGAAATTTATGATATACTCTCCAGTGAGGATGAGTTCCCTTGGCCAGAACCAGGGAACAGGTGGGAAGTATGCTGCAGCCACAAGTGCAGGAGCTGCACACTGTGGCTTTACAGGCAGACTGGAAGGAGCATGGCCTGAAAGCTGGTTGCAGTATCTTTGGGGAAGGCTTATGGGCTGGCATTTTGAATTCTGAGTATTAAGTACTTAGAAGATAGATAGCTGCTGCCAGCAGGTGTGAGACTTGCTTTTCCAAGTGCGTGGGAGCTGGATGGGGTTTACTGCCCCCTACTACTTCTGACTCCCTGTACAAACTCATTTGTACATCAGAGATAGATATGGTCCTCCATGGAACATTATCCCAGTGGCCAGTGAATTTCTCTGACCCTCACTAGGGCCACTGTTGGAATAGCAGAGGACTAATATCCAGAATCTACAAGAAACTCAAACAAATCAGCAAGAAAAAAATACTTTCATGAAAAAGTGGGCAACTGACATGAATAGATATTTATTACAAGAAGATATACAAATGGCCAGCAAACGTATGAGAAAATACTCAACATCGCTAGTCATCAGGGAAATGCAAATTAAAACCACAATGAGATACCACCTTACTCCTGCAAGAATGGATATTGTTAGTATTATTATTTTTAAGACAGGGTCTCACTCTCTCACTCTGGCTGGAGTGCATTAATGTGACTGTGGCTCACTGCAGCCTTGATCTCCCAGGCTCAAGTGATCCTCCTACCTCAGTCTCTCCAGTAGAAGGGAACACAGGCCTATGCCACCACGCTCAGCTAATTTTTGTATTTTTTGTAGAGATGGGGTTTCACCATGCTGCTCAGGCTGATCTTGAACTCAGCTCAAGTGAACTGCCTAAGTTGGCTTCCCAAAGTGGTGGGATTACAGGTGTCAGCTACTGTATCCATCCAAGAATGGACATTGTTAAAAAGTAAAAAACAAAAAACAAAAAGCAATATATGTTGGGGTCATAAAAAGGGGATGCTTATATGTTGGTGGTGGGAATGTAAGTTAGTACAATCTCTATGGAAAACAGTTAGTACAATATCTATGGAGATTTCTTAGATAACTAAAAATAGATATATGATTTGATCCAGCAATCCCACTACTGGGTATCTACCCAATGGAAAAGAAGTCAGTATATTACAAAGACACCTGCATGTGTATGTTTATTGCAGCCAAATTTGCAGTTGCAAAGATATGGAACCAATCTTAGTGCCCATTGACAAATGAGTGGATAAAGAAAATGTGGTCTACACCATGTAATATACTATGCAGTAATATTACTACTGGGTAACACTACTCAGCCATAAAAAACAATAAAATAATGTCGTTTGCAGCAACTTGGATGGAATGGGAGGCCATTATTTTAAGTGAAGTAACTCAGGAATGGAAAACCAAATACTGTATGTTTTCACTGGTACGTGAGAGCTAAGCCGTGGGTATACAAAGGCAAACAGAGTGACATAATGGACTTTGGAGACTCAGAAAGGGGAGGATGTGAGTAGGAACAAAAACCTACTTATTTGGGTACAGTGTACACTACTCAGGTGATGGGTGCACTAAAATCTTAGAATTCACCTCAATACTATTCATCCATGTAAGGAGAAACCACTTGTACTCCAAAAGCTATTGAAATAAAAAAATTATGCAAATAAGTTGCTTTTTAGCTTCAAACAATCTAAAAACTAAACAAAATAATAATGCTGGCTTAGATATTCTATATTCAAAGGCTTTCACATTTTTAAAAGACATGACTGTGATTGTTCTATTTTTGAAAGTGATAGAAGCTACCTATATTATTTTGAGTCGTTAGGTTGGAATAATATCGTGTTGAAAATAGTGGAGAAGTGCCATCTTCAGCATTTTGGGTAGAGAGGCAGATTGTGTCATAAATACATTAGGTGGGTAATGGATGTTTTAGTAAATTAATGTTACCAAAAAATGGACAAAGAAAGAGAGATGTCTATTCTCTACTGTGTGTCAAATTCTGAAATATTAACTGTGAATCTCAAATTCTGAAATAAAAACAATAAAATATGTAAAAAAAGGAAAAATAGATTCTTGTCCTTTTTGCATAGTTGGAGGATTTGCTGCCATTTTTTCCATTTATTAACTGAATACAAATAAATTGTATGACAAATTAGAGTATCACAAGGATTAATTGCTCATTAAAATATTAGATTACTAGATTTTTCTAGCTATTAATTTAAATCTTCAATGCATACAAAGAATTATGATATTTAAGACAGTAAGTGGGTCATTTTACTTAGAAAATCTATTAACCCATAATTACAACATAATAAAATTGTTAATTGTGAATATATTTTTATTAATAATAAATTGTTAACAAATAATACTATGTAATTGGCTAAATATATTTTACTAATATGTTATTGAGATAGCAACTTGCTAGTTATGAAATACAACAAGAATTGATGTTTGAATTTGACATTAGAGTATGGCTAATCTATTTAAGTAATGTGTACAGATCCATTATACTTACCTAGAGTTTCATATAATCAACTTTTTCCATTTTAATATCTCATTGACATTTATTTCTGTATCGTATTTTTAAAATTTTATTTTAAAAATAAATGTGTCTTTAATGCTAGACAATATTGATGACCTTCATTGCAAACTTATTATTTATAGTGCCTCTTGCATTGATGAAAATAAATGGTGTATTCTTTTTAACCCCTTCTTTCAACATGCTTTTTGATATTCACAGTATGGTGGAATTTCTGATGAATTACCTAACTTGACTAACAAATATGCTGCTTTCTTGTCAAGAGCTGAAAGAACTATGAAGATATCAGATATGGTAAGAAGACTCTTACTATCAAATATTTTCATTATATAGAAATCATGGAGGAGGCTGCATAACATAAAAATTATGTTAGGACCTGAGTGAGGTAACTGGTAGCCTGCTGTAATATCCTAGGTTAGATTGATACTTCTATATTTTTAAAGTTCAACAAAATTATTGAAGCTAAGCCAAAGTATAGAATTACTATATGAGAGATTATCACATGGAACGTCCTTTGTAGGGTCAGAGAACATTCATTCTTAGGACATATATGAAAGTTGAACTTGTTGTGTTGTGTATGGAGTAAAAGATTTACTGTAGGTTCAACTCATTTTACTCATAATGCAAATTTTTTCTCTTTTGAATGTGAATTCATCTTGTCATCTATGACTCCTCAGTGATTTAGTTTTACTCCTGTTGACTGTATGTTAAATGATGTGGCTATAAATTTTTCTGAATTTCTATTTTTAATAAATATCTAACATTGATTAAATTGAAAACAGTAAAGCAAATTAAATTTAAAAATGAGTAGTTAATTGTTTCAGATTGAATTTACAAATATATCAAAGTAAAATTTAGAGTTAAAACGTTGGACCCAGTGGTAATGTTACTATGGTCTAAATGTTTGTATCCTCTTAAAATTCATATGTTGAAATCCTAACTCCCAAGGTGATGGTATTAGGAGGTGGCAATTTCTGGGAGGTTATTATGTCACGAGGGTGGAGACCTCATAAATGGGGTTAACACTCTTATAAAATACGCCCAGGGGAGCTTTATCATGAGGATTCAGAGGAGGTACTGTCTATGAGGAAGCAAGGCCTCTGCAGATGCTGAGTCGGCTAGTGCTTTGATGTTGGGCTTCCCAGCCTACAGAACTGTGAGAAATAAATTTTGGTTTATAAGCTACCCAATTTATGGTATTTTGTTATAGCACCCCAAACAAAGACAAATGTTATGGTATAGACTTGTGCGAACAAGGTGTTATTAAAATACATTTTTACGGGGAGGGGAGCACCACACACTGGGGTCCCTTGCAGGGAAATGAGGGAGGGATGGGGGGGTGGGGAGAGATAGCATGGGGAGAAATGACAGATATAGGCGAGGGGGAGGAAGGCAGCAAATCACACTGCCATATGTGTACCTATGCAACAATCTTGCATGTTCTTCACATGTACTCCAAAACCTAAAATGCAATAAAAAAATAAAAAAAAATACATTTTTATAGAAATTGGACCATCTTTGCAAGGTATTGTTACTAAAAAATTACAAAACAGGATTATTAAACAAGATTTAAAATGTGGCTAATCAATGAGACCATAGTATAGCTTGCTGAAATAAAATTCTGCTAGGTAAGATAATGGCAACAGTTGATTTATAATATTTCTGATTGTGACATAACTGGAACAAGATCAGGATGAACTACTTAAAGGGAATGACAAATGCAGTGCTAGTTAATATAACTGTGAACATCTTGGAAATCGTAGGAATTAGATTAATTTGGTGAAAGCTGTTCAGGAATGGACTTTTTTTTTTTCCCCCCTGAGGCATTATTGCAATTTGAGATATAGTTAAAATTAGCATCAGGTTCTATTCTATGAGATTTTTTTGTAATTATAAATTCAAAAGACCATTTAAAATCATCTAAAAATTTTCTTTACTTATAGTAGATTCTGAGTAATTGTTAACTAAATGTGCTTTTAAAAATGGATTATTTCTTCATCTTGAGGAATTTTAGAGTTCAATTGTATTTCTCAAGTGAATCATTTTTATGCACACCTCAGGATCCATTTCGAAGTATGCCCTGACTAATTATTATGAATATAAATATTGTATGCTTAGGAATTATTGAATGGATTCAAAGGTATTTCTATTATAACACAGGTAGTAGGAAAAAACAATGAAAATTTTGGAGAACATCAATAGGAAGGCATATATATATGTTAAACTTTATGTCTGTAATGAAGAAGATGGTGCACATCTGCTCTGAAGGAAGACAAGTTGCTTCCCAATTTTTTTGACTTAACATTTTTTTCTTTTAATTTTGTCCCTCTTTAGATCTGAAAACTTCTTTTTAGTGTTGTCTCCTCTGGCACAATACATTTGCAATTAAAATTATTCAGTGGGACTCTGGTTATCCAAGAAGCAGAATAGTTTAGTCACATAGAAAGTTAGATTTTTGAATCTCTTTTGTAAATGACAATACACCTCAAACAGGTGCATATATAATATGTTTGTAATGAAAAATACAAATTATTGCTCTCAAAACAAAATTGAAATAATATCTCAAATATATGGTATAATGGAATTAACTTTATTATTTACTTTAAATAAAAATAAAGAAAATTTACCTCCCAGGTATTTTGTTATGGATATGCTGCAGTCTTTAAGGCGGATTTGATAGTTTAATTTTCCAAGTTGTATTTTTACATAAAAAATATAGTTCCCTTCCATACTTCTGATTTCAGATGAAAGACTTATTTCTTTTACAAGATCCCAAATAGTTTTTTCTTTTAAAAAAACTATGACATAAGCATTAGTTGATTATAAAAAGAAAGAAAAATGGAGGATGAACACAAGCCAAACATGTGTTTGCCAAGCATTCTAGAAGGAGAAATTGGAGAAAATAATTAAATGTTTGATATAGAAAACATAAAATTATTTCAAGCTGAATAAAACCATAAGGTATTAATCTGGGTAACTCAACAAAATGCCAGAGGATAAATATAAAAATATGTATGACCTTTTTACTTTTTAAAAAAAAAATTTCAGAAGATCCTTACTAAAGAAAACATCCTTGAAGCTTCCACAGAGTAAAGTAACTGGGTAACTTACAAAGGGAAGAGAAATATGACTTATGTCAGATATTTGCTTAGCAGCATTAGTAACATTTCAAGGCTAGAACATGATGAAGTAATATTTTCTTAAATTTCTCAGGGGAAAATGTTGGATATAGAGTTCTCCCTCTACCTAAAATTTTAATTAAATGAATTAAGAAAATAACTTTCTGATATGCCATGGTTCAGAAAGTTCAGTATCTCTATATCTTCATATGTGGAGTTGCTCCATCAAAATAAAAAATGGGAAAAAAAAGTGGGGTGACATAAAGACAAAGAAGAATATAAACTGAGCATTTCCTAGACAAAGTAAAGTGAAAACAAATTAATAAAGAAGTCATTTTAGCTCATGCATGACATATTCTTCAAGAGGAAGGAGTTTGATGACATAAAATTCATCACTTGTGTTGGCCACACTACTTGGCTCTATAGGGAATAATAATGTTAATGTAAATCCTGCTTTAAAATTGGTTTATTTTAAAATCACAATAAAGTGATATAGGAGCTGAAGGATGACATAGCTGTTATAAAAAAGAACCAACCAAGTGTGACAGAGCTGAATAACACAATAAAAAGTTGCATAATGCAATTGCAAGTATTAATAAACCAAGCTGAGGAGAGAATCTCAGAATTTGAAGACTAGTTTTCTGAAATAAGACAGTCAAAATGAGGAAAAAAAGAATAAAAAGGAATTAACAAAACCTCCAAGAAGCATGGGTTTATGTAAGGAGGCTAAATCTGTGAATCATTGGCATCCCTGAAAGAGAGGCAGAAAAACCAAACAACTTAGAAAACATATTTAAGAATATTACCCATGACTACTTTCACATTTTTGTTAGAGAGGCTAACAGTCAAGTTCAGGAAATACAGATAACTCCTGCAAGTTTCTACGCCAGAAGATCATCCCCAAGAAAGACACAGAATCCTCAGATTTTCCAAGGTTGAAATGAAAGAAAGAATTTAAAGGCAGCTAGAGAGAAAGGGCAGGTTACCTACAAAGGGATCTCTGTGAGGCTAACAGATTTTCCAAGGTTGAAATGAAAGAAAGAATTTGATGGCAGCTAGCGAGAAAGGGCAGGTTACCTACAAAGAGATCTCCATGAGGCTAACAGCTGACCTCTCAGCTGAAATCCTATAAGCCAATTGATTGGGAGCTTATATTCAACTTTCTTAAAGAAAAAAATCTTCAACCAAGAATTTTATGTCCAGCTAAATTGAGATTCCTAAGTGAAGGAGAAATAAGATTATTTTCAGATAAGCAAATGTTGAGGGAGTTTATTACCACCAGCCCTGCCTTACAAGAGATCTTGAAAGAAGCACTATATATAGAAGGGAAGCACCACTGCCAGCTAATGCAAAACACAATTAAACACACATGACCAGTGTTACTGTAAAGTAACCATTTGAACAGGCCAACATAATACCAGCTAAAAGCACAATGCCAGTATCAAATCCACAGATATCAATACTAACATGAAATGTAAATGGGCTAAATGTCTCAGTTAAAATCCACAGAAAGGCAAGCTAGATAAAAAAGCAAGATCCAATAATATGCTGTTTTCAAGTGACTCATCTCACATGTAATGACTCTCATAGGCTCAAATTAAAGGGGTGGAGGAAAATCTACCAAGCAAATGGAAAACAGGAAAAAAGCAGGGTTTGCAATTTTAATTTTAGACAAAACAGATTTGAAACCACAAAGATCAGAAATGATAAAGAAGGGCGTTATGTAATGGTAAAGGGTTCAATGCAACAAGACCAAACTATTCTAAATACATGGGCACCCAACAAGGGGAACCCAGATTTATAAAGCACATTCTTAGAGACTTAAAAAGAGACATAGATTCCCACACAAGACTTCAGCACTCCACTGACAATATTAGACAGATTATTGAGTCAGAAAATTAACAAAAATATTCAGGACCTAAACTCAACATTGCACCAAATGGATCTGATAGACCTTTTCAGAACTCTCCATCTCCAAACAACAGAATACATATTCTTCTCATTGCCACATGGCATATACTCTAAAATTGACCACATCATTGGACATAAAACAGTCCTCAAAAAGTGTGAGAGAACTGAAATCATACCAAACACACTCTTGGACCACAGAGCAATAAAAATAGATGTTTAGACTATAAAAATTACTCAAAATCATGCAATTATATGGCAGTTTAA